CTCAAATCGGCAAGTGCACATCCATAACGAGCAAAACGGAGTGCAGATCAACCTGGTAAATGTCGGGTCGGATACGAAGAGGGAAGACTGGCAGACTCGACGCATTGTGGAGGAGGCGGTTTCGGGAAACAAGACCGGAGACAAGATAGTCGAGAAGACCAAAGGCAACACTAGAATTAATGTCCGTGGCGACAGCCTGACGTTCAACCTGAATTTTAATGTCGGCGATGTCTCTTTTCCCTTTGACACTCGCGGCGTGGACGTGAACCGGAACACTGACGGTAAGCTGGGGGTCATTGGGGGTTCTGGCGGCGACGGAGATGGTAAGCTGAAGGTCACTGGCGGTGACGGAGATGGTAAGCTGAAGGTCATTGGCGGCGACGGAGATGGTAAGCTGAAGGTCACTGGCGGTGACGGAGATGGTAAGCTGAAGGTCACTGGCGGTGACGGAGATGGTAAGGTGAAGGTCATTGGCGGTGACGGAGGTGGTAAGCTGAAGGTGGCTGGCGGCTTCGACGTAGACGTGCACGCGGACCAATGGGCAGGCCCCAGCGAGTTGCAGACGCAGATGATGGCGGGCATGTCCTGCAAGGCGCTTGGTGGTTGTCCGCGCTGCCTGGCAGGCCAGGCGTGTACTTGTGGCTTCCTCGACGGTTGCTCTAAAGCTATGCGGTGTAAGTACCCTTACGGCTTCGCGGACCACAAAGCCCTAACCACTAGCGTCACTTTTCAAGGCACCGACGGCCAAGACATGCACCAAGTCTACGGCAAAATGGGCAAGGCCGTGGAAGACATCTTCACGGACTACGCCACCGCCTCCAACTTCTCACAAAAATCCACCAAAATCAGGGGCGAGTGGCCAGAGGTGTTCTCCGTTGTCGGAACCGACGACAAGAACAGAACTCTCACCCAAGACTTCGTCTGCTGCTGCGACTGCGCCCCCCCCGGCTCCAGTCACACACACCCGAACGCACACACTCGCTCAACCGCCTCAAATATCGAACCCTGGGCAATCTCGGCCGTTGGCGCAGGTGCCCTGCTCATGCATAAGCACCTCTTTAGTGTGGACTAACTTTTTCCGTCCACTCGCCTTTTTCGCACCGCCTTTCTCGCTCCAAACAGGCCGCGCAAGGCCCCCTCGCACACCAAGTCGTGCACACGTCACGCCGTGCACGGTCCTCTCCCAGAACCTCGAGCCTTTTCATCTCGCAGAATCTTCAGCCGCGCACCAACCACGCCGCGCAACCGGGACCGATGCTCCGCCACCGCAGCCGCGCGATGCTCCGCTAGCAACTTGTCCACCTTCAACCGGTTGTCCAGATTATACACATTCCACTTTTTATCCGGCAGGATATTCAATGCGCCATGCCCTCCCATCCTCACTGAATAATTTTTATATCCCCAACATCGTCAGTGAATAATTTTTGCATCATAAACCCACCACCACGTGTCGGACTCCACCATACCCAATTGTTTAAAAACGGATAGTGCTGGCCGGTGTCAGCATAATGCTGGCTGGCTCGTCAAAAGCTGGTCCACAGGGTCTGCATGGTGCCCGGCAAGCGGGCGACGATCTGTCGGTAAGTGGGTTCTCGGACGAACTCATGGAAGTGTCTGGTGAAGCGGGTCTTGGCGGCGTCCGAAAGCGCGTTCCAGAGCATGCCCGTGGCGAGCATGGTCTTGACGGAGTTGAGCTCGACCGTCGTCAGCAGTTCGCGCGAATCTGCCGTCGGCGTCTGGCCGAGAGCGTGAACGAACTGGAGGTTGTTGAGGAGGACGTTGATCACGGTGCACACAACGCGCAACTCGACCTGAGCGTCCTGCTGTCCGAAAACGCTCCATATCTCCAGGACTCTGTCAAGCACCAAGTAAGTCTGGCCGGAGATTTCAACTGTCGCTTGGTTGAAGACCCAAACGGCCAGTTCCGTGGGGCCGCTCAAGTGGTAGAGCGTACTCAGGCACGCGTACTGTCGCTCCGGCACGGACGCGTCCGAGGCAAAGGCGACCAAGAGCGAAAGCGGCCAGCGCCGGCTGGCGTCTGTGTCGCCCGCCAGGATGAGTGCCTGAAGTTTTTGCTGAACAGCATCCTTAGAGGTGAGATTGCACAGTAGCTCCGCACCGTACCGTGATGTCAAGTCGCTCCAGTCGGTCATGAGGTTCTCGCACGTACGCCAGCCGCGACCGCCGTCCCAAATCTTAACGCTAACATCCTCAAACAGTGCGCACAAATTCACTAACCCACGCGCCGCAAAACAAACGGGCAACTCCTCCTCCTCCGCACCCACCGTCTGCAACAACTCGTGTGCACAACGCATCCGCACCGCATAACCCAACGCTCGCGGCGGACATGTCGCCACCAGTGAACAGACCTGGAAACGAGCCTCCACGTCGCCCTGCTCACAACCGCGCAACAACACACGCAAACCACCCGCCGCCACCAACTTCGCACGCAACCCCAACACACTCGCCAGGCAACACACACTGTGACTCGCCAACACACAGAGCGACCGCCCAGCACGGCCGCCCGCCCAACCGCCCGACCCTCCCGACCAACGTCCGTGCTCCAACAACCCGTCCAGCGCCTGCACCAACCCCGTTCGCATCAACACATACTTCCGCACAGCCATCGCCGCCACCAGCCCACCCGAGTCGTACAGCCGCCGCTCCGCCACCTTCGCCTGCTCCGGCAGCCGGTGGTACATCGCCTCCAACTCCTTCAACTGACTCGCGTCCAAGTCCGGACCACGTTTCTCCGAGTTGGACAACACCTTCCGGTCGTGCCTTGAACGCAACACATTGAACACCGTCAACACCACGTCCAACGCCCCCTGCTGCACCGGACACACCGCCGCAGCTACCTGCAGGTCTTCCAATACGTCCATCGCCGCCACGTCCTTCGCCGCTGCGCTCTCCGCCGCCGCGCCCGCCAAGAGCTTGTCGGTCACGGCGTCGAGGCGGCTGCCTGGCTTGAGCAGCGGGCGCGTCTCGGTGCCGCCGTCGCCACCGCCGTCGCCGTCGTACTCGGCGCTGACGCGCTCGAGTTCTTCGAGCGAAGCTAGACGCAGGACGCGGGCCTTGAACTCCGCGTGAAAGGAGAGCGACGCGAGCGTGGAGACGACAGAGCGCGCAATGCGCTGCAGGCGGCCCTGGTCGGCCCGAGGTCGTGGCGGCGGTCCTGCCCCTTCCGACTCCGTCCTGTCCGACTCCGTCCTGTCCGACCCCGTTCCGACCCGTGTGCGGATGTGTTGGGCGAGGGTGTGGACGAGGGAGTAGAAGGGCACCGAGTCGAGCACAAGGTCCTTGGCCTCGGCGCCGTGGAATGCAAGTTTCGCAAGGGCGGCAACGACGGCGGCGCGCAGCTCGGGGTCGTCTGCGCGGTCGAGCGCGGGCGCAAGAAGGTCCACGGCCTCGGCTTCGAGCAGTTGTTTGCGCAGGCTTGGAAAGTCAAGACAGTGACTTAAAAACGCCGCGGCCTCCGTCTGTGTGCGCAGCGGCGCAGCCGCGGCCTTGCAGACGAGCGGGAGCACGCGGAAGGCGAGACCTGCAAGCGAGACGTAAGTCGCAAACTCGTTGGGAGCGGCGGAATGCAGCAGGTTCAAGAAACCCAACGCCCCGCACAACTCCTCATCCGCCGCCAAACGTCCATCTAACAACTGCCCCAACCAACTCGGCCAATCCACTGCATCCTGTGCACTGCGTTCCTCATCGCCCAGAAGTCGCAAAATCGCCGACAACACAAAGTCAACATACTCCCTCTCCTCCGCACCCTCTTCGTTGAGGATGTCGATGACGGTGGAAGTGACCAGACTCAACTCGTGACCCACCTTGACCACACTCGTCTTGGTCCCCAGCGCCAACTTGCTCTGCAGCATCACTCCCAACGCAGCCAACGCACGGGTTCGCACCCGAGGGCATTCCACGCACTCTGCACCCAATCGGCAGACGCGTAACCAGTACTCTTCATCCAAACTGCCCAACGCACGTGCCAGGACCATGACCGCTTCCACACACGCACGCCGCGCCGTCTCATCCACGCCCTTCCGCACCATCGCCTCTGCCAACTGGCTAAGTAACGACGCCGGCACCGCCTTGCGAACCACTTGTCGCCGGTCTCGGCAGTCCCTCGAACCCTGCACGTCACCCGCATCCTCCTCAGTCTCCACGCACAACACCGTCAGACAGTCCAGCAACCCACCGATCGCCGCCTCGATCTCTCGCACCGTCTCCTGCCGGCCCTCCACGCAACCGCCGACTCGGCCACCGCCCGCAGAACTCTCCAGGGCCGCGCTCCTAACCATTGCTTTGTCTTGCAGCACTGAACACACTGTGGTCTCATCTTGACCGCACTGCAACTCGGTTTCGTCCACACTTCTTTCGGGGACACTCTCTTTAGGCGCATTCTCTTCGGGCTCACTCACTTTAGGTGCAGTCTCATCGGAAGCGCTTTCAATGGGTGCACTTTCATTGGGAGCACTTTCATTGGGAATACTCTCTTCCAGCACATCCTCTTTTGACTCCTCATCGTTGTTCACAGTTTTGCTCTTCGGGGCTGTCCGATACAGTGGAACCAGCCACCCGTGATATAAAGCCCCAAGCAGCTCGACTAGCGCCTGCGCCTCATCAACGTAATGCTTGAGCTCCGTATGAGACTTTAAGTGCTGTAATATGACATCCACGTCAGCTTGAATCTTGCCAATGGTCACGGGCTGGTCCCCTTCGGCTGGGACCTCCGCGATTTCAGTCTTGCGGTGGACCGCGATTTGCGCCGGGTATGACCTAACGTGTTCTAGCGCCTCCGTGATCATTCTTCGGCTTCACTGCTTTTTCAACGCGGTTCCTCGATCCGTGTAATGCGGGCCCTCGACAAAACTCAAAATGTTGCCAAAGCTTAATCAATCACTGTTTGAAAAAATGGTCGAGCGCCCTAAAAGGCTAAAGCCCACCTTGGACGTCAGAGCACACGTGTGTGCGCGCAATCAATTGCGTGCGCGCACACTTAATGCTTGACGTACAAGCGGTTGGGAGAAGTAGCGGGGAGGTGGTGGTACTCAGGCAACACGTTATCAGCGCTGGTAAGCGGGTAATGGGCGGGATAAGGTGCTGTGGCTACACCAGAATCAATGGCCGCCTTGGCAACGGCGTGGCTCATTTTCGGCAGGAGTCTGGGGTCCAGGGGTTTGGGAATAAAGTAATCGGGACCAAATTCAAAGTGCTCCCCTCCGTAAGCCTTGGCAACGCTTTCGGGGACAGGATCTTTGGCAATATCGCAAAGAACCTTGCAGGCGGCGACCTTCATGGCGTGAGTGATTTTGGTGGCTCTCACATCGAGCGCACCACGGAAGATGAAGGGGAAGCCAAGAACGTTATTGACCTGGTTCGGGTAGTCGGAGCGTCCGGTAGCAATAAGAACGTCCGGGCGATGCTGTTTAGCGACTTCAGGCATAATTTCGGGGTCCGGATTGGCGCAGGCGAAGACCACGGGGCTCTTCGCCATTTTCATCAAGTTCTCAGGACTCAGTAGACCGGGTCCGGAGAGCCCAAGGAAGGCGTCCGCGTTCTCGATGGCCTCTGAGAGTGTTTTGGGCATGGATTGTTGGTGATGCCATTCCTTCAGTCTCTGGAACTCTGACTTGTATTTGTTGATGCCGTCGCGGCCTTCGTAGACAACCCCCTTAGAGTCAACCAAGAACACATTCTTTCTTGGCAAGCCCATCTCCACCAGCAGTTTCAGACAAGCAATAGCCGCCGCGCCAGCTCCCAGACATATAAGCTTGGCCGACTCTATCTTCTTGCCGGCGATATCCAGCGCATTAATCATGGCTGCTGCAGTAACAATGGCAGTACCGTGCTGGTCATCATGAAAAACAGGGACATTACAAACCTCCACCAGTCGCCTCTCGATTTCGAAGCACTCTGGTGCCTTTATATCTTCCAAGTTGATTCCACCGAACGTTACTGAAATAGCTTTCACCACGTTCACGAATTCATCAACATTGGTAGTGTCCACCTCGATATCATAACAGTCAATACCAGCAAACCTCTTGAACAGGACCCCCTTCCCCTCCATAACCGGTTTCGAAGCCAGCGGTCCTATGTTTCCTAAGCCCAGTACTGCAGTGCCGTTCGAAATAACACCCACCAAGTTGCCCTTTGATGTGTACGTGAAGGCAGTCTTCGGATCTTTGAAAATCTCACGACAGGGTTCGGCCACGCCAGGAGAATACGCCAAGGCAAGATCCAACGAAGTATCTGCCGGCTTACTCAAGTGCATCGACACCTTACCAGGAGTCGGCGACGAGTGGTATTCGAGAGCCTGATCGCGCAACTCTTCGTGCGCCGCATCCGACGTAGTCAACTGGCTGGGACTTCTCATAATATTTCTTCTACAGGGGTCGAGATCTACAGCGGTCGAGACCGAGATTAACGAGTACGAATACGAGTTCAACAACAACCGTGTGTCGGGGATCTCTTTCAAGTTGTTTGTATCAAGTGGAAAAAAAGGCGGGCCAAATCGGTGCGTAGTCAGGCTGTCGCAAAGCTATATGTTTGCACGAGAATTTACTCGTATTCAATGGTGGCGGGAGGCTTATCAGTATAGTCATAGAGGACCCTGCTGATACCCGGGACTTCGTTGGTGATGCGTCTAACCACGTTCACCAGGAGTTGATGCGGTAGGTCAACTACGGTGGCGGTCATGAAATCGGTAGTATGGATGGCTCTGAGTGAGATCATCTCCTCGTAGACACGTTCATCGCCCTTGACACCCACAGCCTTGCTGGGGATAAGTGCCGCGAGGGCCTGGGAGATATTGTGATAGCATCCAGCGCGGAAAAGTTCCTTGATGAAGATGTCATCCGCTTTTCGGAGCTTATCTGCCCGTTCAGGGGTGACTTCGCCCAAAATCCGCACCGCCAGACCGGGGCCTGGGAAGGGGTGTCTCCAGACGAAGTCGTGGGGGAGGCCGAGTATCTCGCCGACTCTTCGAACTTCGTCCTTGAACAGCATGCGGATTGGCTCAACCAACTTAAGCTTCATTTTTTCGGGCAGGCCGCCGACATTGTGGTGCGTCTTGATCAAGGCAGCGTTACCAACCTTGGCGCTCTCTATAACATCTGGATAGATGGTGCCTTGAGCGAGATATTTGACATTGGGGTATTTGGTCACGACCTCGCGGTCGAAGGCTTCGACGAATTCACGACCAATGATGCGTCGCTTCGCCTCGGGGTCCGTGACACCTTTGAGCGCAGAAAAGAACTGCTCTCGGGCGTCTACTACGTGCACTTCAGGCAACATACCCGAGCCCGCTTCGCTGGCCGCTCGGAAGGCCTCTACGACGTTTTTGCTTTCATCACTGCGCATAAGACCATGATCTATCATCACGCATTTTAATCGCGGTCCAATGGCTCTGTGTAAAATCACGGCCACTACGCTGCTGTCGACGCCGCCTGAGAGTCCTAACAAAACGTCGCCTCCCTCCTTGAGTTCTTCGGCGGCCTTGTCGATCATTTGCTGTGAAATCCGAGCCGGCGTCCAGGTGGCGCGCAAGCCGCATATGCCGAGCAAAAAGTTCTCAAAGAGCACGCCTCCGGTCGCCGTCTCCGTCACCTCGGGGTGGTGCTGAACCGCGAATAACTGGCGTTCCACATTGGCCATGGCTCCATAACAACAGTTCTGGCTGTGAGCGAGTTTTGAGAAACCGGCTGGTAACTGTGACACTTCATCACCGTGCGACATCCACACACGGGAGGTTACCGGGAAATCCTTGAATAAACCACCATCAGCTTGCCCTGTCTCCACATCCAATGACAACTCCGAGTAACCAAACTCGCTCTTCTCCGATTTGCCCGTACGTCCACCCAGACACATGGCCATTACCTGCATACCGTAACAAACACCCAAAATTGGCACACCAAAGGACCAAATAAACTCACCAGGCTTCAACGGACTTTCCTCCATCGTACTCCTCGGACTGCCCGTTAAGATAATAGACTTAGGACCAAAACCACGCAATACATCCTCACTCACATCATGACCAAATACCTCGCAGTAAACACCCACCTCACGAACTCGACGCACTATCAATTGCGTGTATTGCGACCCGAAATCCAACACGGCTACTTTGTCGTCTAACATCCCGGTTTTTTTATGTCCCGAGAGGGATAAATAATTCCCCCGTTCCCCAAAGGCCGTGAGACCAGAACCTCGCGTAGAGAAGGTACCGCCGAGGATTGTCCGGAAATGGGAGAATCGCTAGTGCTGGTTCTCGTCTGAGCTAGTCCCAGTGCGAACGTCTTTTGGGACATGAAGGACGTCGGGCATATTTGGGACAACGCGCGCGTGTTTGCAGCGCATCACTAAGAGAGAGACGTTTTTTAAGGGGAAACTAGGACTCCAGAAGATGATACCTGCCCCAAGAGATCTCCCTCCTTCTTACGAGGCCTCTCCCAGTGGCGGAGAGCCCAACAAACCTACGCCGGAGTTCTTCCCCAGTGGCGGGAAGAATTACGGAACAACTGGTGGACGACCTACTGGGTACGATCCCTGCGATGACCCGGAGCTGGCCAATGCTGGTAAGGCCAGATACAATTTCCAGCAAACCTTCAAGACGGAGTACGAACTTGGGTACCTCCCGTACTACGAGGTACTTGGCCGTCTTGATGCGTTTTTCGGCGAAGTTAGCGTTGGC